TTTGTAGCCAAGGAGGGCAGGCATGCTAGCAAAGTCTCGATCCTTGAAATTTCGTTCGGTTTTACACATGGTAGTTGCCTACTAATATTTGTGTGAGTGGGAGTGTGGGGGAGTGTGAGAGAGAGAGAGAGAGAGAGAGAGAGAGAGAGAGAGAGAGAGAGAGAGAGAGAGAGAGAGAGAGAGAGAGAGAAACACACACACACACACAGACACACACAACACAAACAAACAAACACACCTCAGTTGGAACGACTTTAAAGAATTCGCTCGGTTCTTGCAATGGTTTACGGGATCTCCTGCGCGATCCGGCTTGTTGTGCATGAGCCATGTTGCCCGCCTTTTTCCTGAAAAATAAAAAAAAATAAAAAACAAACGAATCACAAACTATAAATATCTTAAAAAAATTATGAAGCTACTATATATATATATATAATCAAGAAAATGTAACCTTCTTGCATCTTCGCGGTATTTCGCATCGATCTCTTTGTTCGGAGGGTACTTCGGCAAACTTGCTGGATCACACGCATACGGTTTCGTCGTGAAGTACTAAAAAAAAAAAAACACAACAGCAAATCAGACATAAAACGAGACACGATATATTCAATTAAATCATCGTTCTAATATAAAAGTTATGTTCACCTTAGAATCAAGAGCAGAAGAAGCTGTTCCGCGCATGTAAGGCTCGATAGAAAGAAAAGTTTCTATCAAGTTAACCGCACTTTTCGGTAATTCTTTACATCTCTCTCTAAGTGTACTTTCGTAAGGCTGTTGAGGTTTAAACATATTCGCTAGAGGAAGTCTCGTCACTTGCCAATAATCCTCCGCCGGAGAACCGCATAATTTAAATATTTTATGCAATTGTTCTACCTGCAAAAAAAAAAAAAAAAAAAATCGATTTAAAATACTTTTTACCTCGTAAACTACATATATATACAATTAAACCTCTATAAATTAATACAGTCTGGACTAGCAAAATTATATTAGTGGACTAGCAAAATTATATTAATTTAGCGAAATATTAAATTATCGAGTTAATAATTTAATATATTTTTACCAACTCGGGACCTGAAGAAATTATTATTTTAGCGAGATTATTAATTTATCGAGATTCTACTGTATCAGAATTAATAACAACAATTTCAAACCTCGGTTCTTCCTTTAAAGAGTGGCCTTCCGATAAAAAGCTCGGCAAAAACACAACCAACGCTCCATAAATCGACCGCTTCGCCGTAATTTGTGGACCCCATAAGAAGCTCGGGCGGGCGGTACCACAAAGTCACAACCCGACTAGTCAAAGGTTGTCTGTTTTTCGGCCTCATAAAATTCGCAAGACCAAAATCGGCTATCTTTAAAACCCCTTCGTTATTTACCAAAATATTCGACGTCTTAATATCTCGGTGCAATATACCTCTCGAGTGGCAATGCTCGAGCCCACACAATAACTGTCTCATATAGCATTTAATCTAAATTTTAAAAAAAAAAAAAACGATTTTGAGCACACAAAAAAAGATTAGACAACAATTTTATTTTATTTTAATTTGCGAAAAGAAGACGGAACCTGTGAATCGGTGAATTTGATATCGGGGCATGATAAAAGTCCAGCAAGATCGTGTTCCATGTATTCGAAGACGAGGTATATATGACACGATAATCGAGAAGTGATTATACCCTCGAGCTTCATTACATTCGGATGATCGAGTTTTCGTAGAATGAGGATTTCACGGGCCATAAATCTCACACTCTCGGGCTGAAAATTGTCGAATCTCACCTTTTTGACAGCGAATATTTTACCGGTATCCACATTACGCGCCCGGTAAACATCGCTGTACGTACCTTGTCCAATCTATACATTAACAGTACGTAATTAAGACATGCAAGACAACAACCAGAATCACATTTTTAGAGAGAGAGAGAAATGCATGACAACAATCAGAAACATTTTTAGAGAGAGAGAGAGAGATGTATGACAACAATCAGAAACATTTTTCTAGAGAGAGAGAGATGTATGACAACCATTATAACATTTTGAGAGAGAGAGAGAGAGACCTTCTCTAATCTTTTGAACGATTCCGATCTCAAAGGAAGCCACCCATCAATGGCATCTCCGGCGACAGCGCATAGCCACGCCGGCCACCCCGCGGCGGCGTGCTCGCCCTCCGTCAACCTCCCAAACTTAAGGCTAAAGACTGACTTTTTATTATTGTGATGCTGTGAAGAAGAAGACCCTCCCTTTATCGCCTTCAAATTTCCGGAATAGCTCGAAAAATTGTTCCTTTTCCCCGCCGCCGGTCCATCATCCTCCTCCTCTTCCTCCTCCTCCGCCCCATCCTCATTCTCCGGCTCCTCCTTTATCTTCTCCAACGGCCCGCCGCGCACGTGCAGCAGCGATGAGGGCGCAAGGACGCTCGGCGCATTGCTCCGGCTTGTGTTGGCCGACGAGGAAGAAGAGGAGGCGGCGTAGTAGTACGGAGGCGATTCGGACCTTGCCTTCTTGGAGCTAATGCAACCCATTACTGTGACCCACTAAACCCCATCAATCGGATCCAAACGCCCGCCGAGGATGTACGGAAACCCGACCCGGATTGAGGGGGGGAAATGGGCCGGATGTTGGGAGGGGGTGGGTTTGAACGGACAGAAAATCACCCCCCTACAACACCAGCTTCATTTCCTTTCGTCGGAATGGAGAAAAAAATAAAATCTGTCCGGAAATTAGAAAGAAGGAGAGGGAATTTTCTCTTCTTTTTTTTTGGGTTTTTTTTTTTTGGGGTGGCGAAGGAGAGAGAAAGAGAGGAAGAAGGGAGAGTCCAACAAGTAATTTGTTCGTTCGTTGCCATTTCTTTCGATCGGAGGTGCTTTTTTTGTTTCCCGGGTTATTCGGAGGTATAGGTGTGAGACCCTCGTTTTCATATTTTCTGTTGGGAAAAAAAACCAGATATCAAACGACATCGTTTTTTTGGTGGGTTAGAAAATTGATTGCAAATTAGGGTTGGAAATTGGGGACCAGAATTTCCGAATTCCTCCAATTGTGATTCGATTTTGGAACATTTTTTTCAATTCGAAATCCTGGTTCATTGATTTTACTGGACCCGAATTTCCGAATTCCTCTAATTGCCATCCGATTTTGGAATTTTTTTTTTTCAATTCGAAATCGTGATTCGTCGAATTAACGGGACAAAATTGGAATACATATTAGGAATTTCCGGTGTGATTCTTGACTTCTGAACATATTTCCGAATAATTTCAATTTATTTTCGGAAATTACAAATATAGTATCAATATTATTATTTTTTTAATATCGTAGATGACTGAAAACTGGAAATTCCAAATTTCGTCGATTTCGATCCAAAATGTTACGAATTTTCAATTCAAGAATTGTACAATGATGTGATTATGCCCGAGTTCGATTTTTATTACCAACACGTCAAGGTCGACCTCGTCACTCATAATTCACCGAGTGTAGATTATACTTCTCATATTGTTTGCGAATCACAAGAGCGAAATTTACCCAATGTACATATACGACTGATTCCCTTTTTAAATATAAAATAAAATTACACAAATTGCTAGTTTCCACAAAATAGGGGTGTTCTTGATATTTTAATAATCAATAGTAGTTGGTTTTTTTGGCAAAACATATTATCAAAATGTAATTAAATAACATTTAATTTTTTTTTGACAAAATACATTTAATTTACAATCAAAATATTATTACCATTACATTCATGCTAAAAACATTGAACAACAAGTACAAACAAACTACTTGTCACATACCAAAACATTCTATATATATTCTTGCAGTGTACTAAAATATTTCACAATAGCTGCTGCTGCATGCCTAGAACTAGAAATCCCGAGTTCGTCAAAATTCGATCGGACGATCAGATTCTTCGTCACTCCTTCTATATCTATATACATATATACTAAAAAACCGTATTATTCGTGATTTTAGAATTTCATGTTGTAATATGTTCGTCTTTGAGATGTAGAGTGGTTGGTATATTTTGTTCCTGCTTCTCATAATTCATTTCTTTACTTGGCATAGGTTTCTTAGGTACCGTTTTTCGTGTTTTCGGCAGCTGGCGATTTGCTGACTCATCGCTGATGTATCGTCCGATAGGGATTTCGTGATTATGCTTTCCCTCGTATGTAGTAACAACGGCTTTAGGGTCTGCTGATGCCCTCTCAACGTGTTTTCGAACATTACACCCTGCATATGTACATCTATAGTAACTCCTGCAAAAACAAAAGAAATATAGAAATTACATATGCATATTATTTGCTATTTTTATTAGATGACGAAAATTAAACGAACTTCCATGAATCATGGATCAGATTAGGTAAACTTTCTTGATTTAATGAAGGTAAACTTTCTTGATTTAATGAAGGTAAACTTTCTTGATTTAATGATGCCAAGGTGACATGTATTGAATTCAATTCCAAATCAGTTGTGGAAATTGGAACCGAAATTCCGAATCCCGCCAACTTCCGATTTTTTCAGTTTTTTCGAAATGGAAACAGAATATGTGAGATTCCGATTTCCTATCCGATTTTAATCTCCAAAAATTATGGTTTTTTTTTTCTCCTCCGAAAATTACACTTATTATGCATCTTTCATATTATAGGTGACCAAAACATTGGAATTTCGGAATTCAGACAATTCCGATAAAAAAGTTTCCGATTTTGGAACAAGTTTTGCATTCCAATTTCCATAAATTCCGATTTTTTTGAATTATTTTGGAAAGGGATTGGAAGTTAGTTATCCACTTCCCAAAAAAATGGATTTTTTTTACGAAATTGCTAATTCGAAGCCGATTTCCTCACCAATTCCAAATTAATCAAGACTCACCTAGGATGTGGATTTCCCTTAACAACTTTCTGCCCATATTTTCTCCATTTATATCCATCATCCAAAAGATCAACTTCACTTCTCGTCTGCAACACAATCTTTGCTTCTCCAACACTTTGATGATGTGTCGAAGCTGCCACGGGCGCCTCAATTTCCAAGCTCCTGCATCTCGAAAATAAAAAAAAAAAAAAAAAAAAAATCAATTTCCCAAAAATAAATAAAAATTATTTAATCACCTTACCTTTTTTTCACAACTCGTTCATCGTCACCCCCATCAAATAGCACTATTGACCTATCTCCCACTACATCATTTGCCCTATCGGTTTCGATCCGACCTTGTGAGGGTAAAACGGTCTTTTTCTCAGCCCGTTTATTATTGGGTGTAGGAATATCGTGATTGTGCTGTCCTTTATACGTAATATCCAATACAGCACCATCCAAAGACTTTTCGACTTTCTTCTTCACCGGACAATCGAGATGCGTACATTTATAATAGCTACGCGGGCATTCGCTATTCTTCACATGCTTCTGCCCGTATTTTCTCCAGTTATATCCGTCACTGCCTCGTTTATCGTTCCTTTTACCGGATTGTGAAATTTCGGATAACTCTATTTTAGAACTTTCTTGATTATCATGCTTTTTCGATAGAGTTTTTTCAGTCGGTGCCTCCGTTGAAGAAGAACGGTGAAATTGTGATTGCATTTGTATGAAAGATTGGGATAGTGCCGCCTGAGCTGTGACGTGGGCCAGCGCTTGCTGATGGGACATTCCAAACGGGCTCTGATTGAAATTTCAAGAACCGAATATTGACCGTTTATTCATAAAATTTTATTTAGGTGAAATTAGTTTCTAAATTAGAAAAGATTGCAGTTTTAACTCACATTATGCACAAATGCATTAACTATTGAATTTCAAGAAACGAATTAAATTCATTCTTCTAAAGTTAAAATCTTTTTCCATCCCTAAATTCTACAGACAGCTAATAAATTTTGACTGCAAAATAATCAATTCAAATTCAAATGGAATTATTTGTTTATTATTCTAAATATAATCAAGATTCAAAATTCCAAAAAATTCCTCATCAATCAAAAAAAAAATCAATAGAAATATAGTTTTAAAATAGCTTTTACCTGAAGTGGGGATAAATACCCAGAAGGGCTTAGCCCCGGCGGAACCATAAAAAGAGGGCTCAGAGTCCCCGGCGGCGCCGCCACCGCCGTACTAATCGGCCGGGTAGAGTTTTGCCCAACAACCCTCTCACTATTTTTGCTATTGGCAGAAAAAATCCCATCTTTTCCAGAAATAGGAGTTGGTAGAAGATTCGGGGAAGCCATAGCTCCAGCTAAAAGCTGAGAGAAAGAAAACGGGCCCTGCTCCGGGAAGAGGCTCGAGACAAGAGTCATCGGGCCCGGGCTGAACCCGGGGCCCGACCCGTTCGCGAAGAGGAAACCCACGGGGACACGTGGCGGGACCAGGATCGTCGGTTTGGGTTTCGTGGCCGGCGACGCATCTCCAGCAGTTTCACCCATTCTTTTCTTGATTCTGTTCTACTTCCCTAAATTCGAAGAAGATGAAAGCACAGAAAAAGGGGAAAGTTCTGATTTTTATTTTTTTTAATGTAATAATAATAATTGTTGAACAGTTGTTATTAGATCACGATGCAATTTTATTACATGTACTCTAGATTCTTGATTATGAGTCATCCTAGCAAAAAAGAAAATTAAGGGAAAATTGTAGTTTAGTCCTTTGTATTAACTTATTTAGGAATTTAGTCCTCTAATTTGTCATGTTTCGGTTTAAAAAATTGATAATAACATCTTATTATCGTAAAAATAATTAGGCGACAACCGATGATGCCAACCAACCGACCCATATTTTTATACCCAACCCATAGTGGTCGGGCCAGTAATGGTTTTAGTATTTAGCAAAATCGGTTGGTCGAGTAGGGTTGGGTAGGTAATTTTGCCGATAATTACCCGGCACGACTCATGCCAGCCCTAACTCACTTTAAATTGAATAAAAATAAGTTTAAGTGCCACTGAAACACAAGATATTCATTTTGCTTAAATTTTAAAAGGGCAAATTACGACCACACCCCTGAGGTATGACCAAATTGTGAAAGAACCCGAATTGTTTGGGTAATTACAACCACCTCTCATTTTAAATACTTTTACATAAAATTTATATAATCCAATTATTTACCGAACCAAATCGCATATTCATTTTAATAAACAGTATGAAATACCGGCATACCGAAATTTCAGTTCGATTTTAACCGATTTAACATCCCTTAATTTACACCTCTGGAGGAGTATTTTCGTAAGCTAATACATAGTTGAGGGGTTGCTGTAATTACCCAAACAGGAGGGGTGTTTCATAATTTAACCATAACTCAGGGGTGGCTGTAATTTGCCCATTTCAAAACAAATAGGGGCATTTCAATTCAAGGTTCCATAGAATAAACAAATACACAAGTTATTGTCTAGTTTCGAGAAAATAGGTCGACGAGACAGCTAAGCCTTCGACATCGTACGTCCGGACCAATCTCTGTCTCTTACCGGGCGACTCAATCCAACACAGCTCCAAATGGAAGGACTTTAATTCTTGCACACTCTTTGAAACATCAGATGGGCATCCCATGTATATCCCTCCTTGCAAGAAAGTCATCTGAAAACCACCATCATAGTTGACCAAGTTGTTCGAAATCTTGCCCGTCCATTTTACGGAGGTCGTTACATCGCTGCCGTCCAATTTTGTTCTCATATCCTGCGTCCACGTTTCGCAAAAACACGGAATAATTACCTGACAAATTTTCATGGTGCAATGCAAGGTTCCATAGAATAAACCAAGTAGAAATTTAGCAAGTAGAAATTTAGCGAGAATGTTGCCTTTCGTATTGATTTCTGAATTCCGGTAATTTCGATCCAAGCATTTTCGATTTTATAACAATATTCTTATTCTGACTTCTAAACAGTTTTGATTTCCGATTTTTCTATTTTTTTTTTGGAACAGAATTGGAATACATGTTAGATTCTGATTTCCGATCCGATTGTAATTTCCAAAAAATTACACTAATAAATTATAATATCTATTTATAGTATAGGTGACTACAAAAGTGGAATTCCGAATTCCACCAATTCTATCTAAAAAAAGTCGATTTTGGAACGTGTTATTTCATTCCAATTTTTGAAATTCTGATTTTTTTTTTTTTTTTGGGAATGGAACTGGAATTAGCTTCACTTCCGGAAAAAAAAAAACTTTTGTATTTCGAAAGGGCTAATTTCGATCCGATCGGTCCAATTTCCACCTCTAGGGACGACAATACTACACTATTTAAAAAAAAAAAAAAACTCTACGTAAAATGCTAGAATTTTAGAAGTGGTGGGGGCCATGGCCCCCCAAGCCCTATGTAGGCCCCACAACTGGTTATGATTGATAAGAAGTGAAAGCCAAGAATCGAACGAACCTGAACGAGTTGACCGTTTTCGTCAATCTCAAGTACAGCTGTCGTATCTGCTTCGGATATTGTAGCTCCATAAACGCCACTGCGTTTGATTATAGAGCGACCCTTCCATGTCCCTAAATGTGGGGTAATCCTATCCGAATCCTAAGAAGCCAACATTAATTATTATTTAATATCAGATAATAATTAATTGACCTCCCAAGAATGCAAAAATTAGCCAAAAAAAAATATTATTTTTTTTTTTTTTTTGGTTAATGTTGGAGATAATAAGGTTGTTGTACCTTAGAGTTCTCAAACGAAGGATGAATAACAGCTTCACTCCCTCGTTTTTCGAGAAATACAAGAAGCATATCTAATATGCCTTGTGGATTCATAATATGGAAGCATCTTATTCTTAAATCTTGCTCAAGTGAATACAGACAGTTCTCGCATACAATTGCAGGTCTTCGCGAAGGTAGCTTTAAATTTCTGTTGTAAGAAATACGAGGAGCTAACCAGAATTAAAAGTAAAAACAGTATACTCGACATTTTAGTAATTATCTCATAAATTGAAGAATTTCCCTTGGGCAAAAAGAAAACACGAACCTGGGAGATTCTTCTCCGGCATCATCTTCACCTAGTACCCCTTGTCTTATCACGGTTTCCAACATGCCAGCTGTCAGGTACCTCAAAGCAAAGGCCTTCTCTTTCGGGAAAAACCCGATCTGAAAACTAAATTCAATAGAATGATCAACCAAGACATAAAGATTCTGCGAACTTATCATTTATGCCAAGAATTAATATTTTCAGACAATAAGTCTCGTCTCGTCTCGTCTCACCTGCTGATATTTGTCGACTGTGAACATGTTGGTTTCTTTGATTTTGTATTCGAACCATTCTAGCTCATCTTCAGGGTCTGAAGAAATCGATCGAGGCTGCTTTATATATAACCTAATTTTTTTTTTCAAAAACGAATAAAACACGGCAAGTATATTCAGATTATATCCATGTTTTTTTTTTTCTTTTTGGGTGAATTCCGATTGTATCGAACCAAACGAAGAATTTGAACAAATTGTAGAACACGATGCAAAATAATCACAATGCAACAAACGACATGTATTCGTAACAGGAAATGATTATTTACGACGAGGATATTAAAAAAACCTACGATTGAATCAAACTCATGAGTTCATCTTCCCCATATGAGCTTGCAGAAAGCTTTGTGTTTATCTTATGCAGCAAATTCCCATCACAATCAAATTGCTGCAACAAAATCAAACCTATAAGATATTCTTAATCAATAGCAATACATTTTCTTAAAATTGAATAGTGAATGTGCACAATAGTTGATTTGGGGGAAAAAAATTGTGAAGACTAAGAATTAATAATTACATGGAAAGAGCCGATCCAGTTGCCCAAATTGAGGTCGATGAAGCGTTTGAGGACGTCAATGCTTATCGATAAGACGCCGTTCTTCAGCCCATCTTCCACCGCCGCCGCCGCGTCGCCGTTGACGGAGCACGGAGGTAACTTGGCTGAAAATGGAGATTTTTTAGTGTGGAAAGAGGGGACGAAGGGTCGAAGATAAGGCTTGGAGAGCCATAGAGATGGAGGTGGCTTGTGAGATTTTGATGTCGAGAAAGTATTGTACGCCGGTGGCGGCGATGCGGCGGAGAGCGCCGTCGCCATTGGAAGGAACTACTGAGTCTTCTCCGGCGAGAAAAAAAAGTGAAATATCTTATCCCAAAGCGCTAGCCATTTGGTACAACTGATGGCTGACGGTAATTAATACATATTAATAAAATTATTTTTTCGATAAAATGCAACTTTGCCCCCTAAACATTTTGATTTTTTGCAATTTCGCCCCTACAAATTGAAAAGAAGAAGAGATTAATAGATTATCACTTCAAAATTTTGTTCTAGTTGTATTTTGCCCCCAAATTATAATTTTCGACATATTTTTCATTGGAATTGCAGTGAATCCGTCCAATTGAAGGGCATTTGTGTCATTTATTTGTGTCATTTCAGGAAGAATCATCATTGGAATTGCAGTGAATCCGATCCAATTGAAGGGCATTTGTGTCATTTCAGGAAGAATCGCCCCAATAAATGTCAGCTGAAGAAGAAATTGAAGATTCTCACAATTTTAACACCATAATAGTTTCTTTCCTTTTTCTACTGAAATTAGTGAAATGAGTTATGTTTTTCATCTATTAGAAAAAATAAGGATATTAGGATAGATATAATAAAATGACTCAAATGTCCTTGAAGTGATCGAATAAATGAAAAATACGCCAAAAATTGTGATTTCGGCCTAAAGTGCAACCATAACAAATATTTGAAAGAGGAGTCTCTTTTTTTTTATTTGCAAGGGGGAAAAGTACGAAAACTAAAATTTCCAAGGGGCAAAGTGCATTTTGTCCTTTTTAAACAAAATGAAAAAAATAAAAAAAATCACACTTGATCATGAGATTCTCAGTGTTGCAATGCTACAGCTAGCTTTGTTGCATTAATCGAGTCTTGTGAGTAAATACTGAACCTGGACTTGCTTCGTTAACGGCATAATCCATTTCCCGTATAACTCTGCAACTACGCTCGGATTTATTTTGTACACCGGATCACTAGTGCTATCATCTTCATGTCCATTCACCACTAAATCCCGTCCGTAATTTCGGGTTTTGATCTCCACCCGTTTCTCAATTGCTTTCTCCACTTCCGGGTATGTTAGCAAATCCATCAATTGTGCTCCATCCTATCACATTTTTTGAATATAAATCATTATTAATTTAAATAATCTTGAAAATACTTCTATCTTGGTGCCAATATAAAATTAAATAATCTAATGAAACCAAATTAATATATTGGACATTCAATTATCCGATAAATACATGCCTAGAAGGCAAAATAAGCCATGATAACATAATATTGGCGGGTCGACCTGGCAAGTTATTGCGGATACCAAACATGAACTAAAGTCCAACTATTTAGTTTATTATGGCTAATCTCCCCAACCAAACGATGCCTAAGTGAATGGACATGGGGGTGTAAATCGGATGGATCGGATCGGATCGGAACTGGTCCTTATGGAAAATTTCCGATTTTTTTTTCGGAAGTGAAAATCTAATTCCAATTCCGTTTAAAAAAAATAGGAAAAATCGGAAATTGGAATTTCGGAATGAAAAAAAATTGTTCCAAAATTGGAAAAATTTCGCATCGGAATCGACTGAATTCGAAAATTGCCAACACTTTGTCACCTAATATATCAAATACATAACAAACAATATTCGTATTTTAAGTGTAGTATTCCGAAAAAAATTAAGAATTTTTGGAATTGTTTTTTAAACTTAAAATCGGATCGGAAATTCCGATCCATAAATTTAGGAAAGATCGGAAATTGGAATTTCGGAATTCGAAATGAAAAATATTGTTTCAAAATCGGAAAATTTCGGATCAAAATCAGCGAAAATCAAAATTGTCACCCGTAAATAGACACATCAGAAGATATAAGCGCAATTTAAAAACTAGTCAATAGAAGCTTACTTGTGCTCTAATGGCAGCTTCATAGACATCAGGTGCGGCGAGAAACTTTGCCTCGGCTACAAATTTACCGTAATGAATTCTCTTCGAAAGGGTCTGCAATAAGAGAGTTGACCACTCATTTTCGTTCTTAATTAAAGCTAAAGTTTTATTACAAATGTAATTAGATTAGCGTTAATTTGTAATTACCTGCAAGCAAATCGTGTCGTACATTGCGGCCGAACCGCAATTACCATCATCACCTTGTCTGACAAATCTTGGAAGAAGATTCTTAAAGTACATGTCCCATACTTGGTCGTTGATATTTATCGAATCTGCTGTTCGATGAAGAACCTGTAAATATATATAAATAATATCATATTGTAAGAATCCATTCCACATTAATATTATAACCCCAAATAACGAAACTATTCACGTTTAGAACTTTAGATTCAATAGCACCACCAAGTACATAAATTAAGTAGGAAAATGCGATAATAATAGGGGTGGTAATTGGAACGGAATTTCTAAAATTGAAATACAAAAATCGAACGGTAATTGGAACGGAATTTCTCAATCGGAAATCGAATTTGGAACACAAATGAAATACATGTTAGATTCTGATTTCCGATTCGATTTAATTTTTGGAAATAATTCCAACAATTTCCCAATTTCTTTCCAAATTCCCGAAAGTTTCGATTTCCAAGTTCTCTGTTTTAATTTTTTTTTCAGAACATAATTTGAATACACATTAGATTCTGATTTCTGATTCGGTTTTTATGTTCACAATTCACAAACAATTCCAAAATTTTCCGATTTCTTCCCAAAAATTACACTTACATCATCAAATATTATTATGTATTTTATACTACAGGAAACTTAAAAAAATAGAAATTCTCAATTCCACCAACTCAAATTCGAAAACTTCCAATATTGGAACAAGTTTTTTCATTTCAATTCCTAAAATTCCAATTTCCAATTTTCTTTTTTTTTTGTGGAACGGAATTGGGAATTAGTTTTTCACTTCCGGAAAAAAAAATCGGCGATTTTTCCGAAAGTGTTTATTCCGATCCAATTTCCACCAAAAAAAATACCACCGCTTAATAAAACAAGAAATTGTGAACGTGATAGTGCAAATAATCGAAAACGAGATCCACAAATTTACCTTCGGATACTCCAATGGAGGCAAAATCGGTTCAGGTAAGTTGTCCGGGAAGAAAGGATGCTCGTCCGGGCTTTTATATCTTCCAGCCTAAAATCAAATAATAACAATTAAAAAATTGCGTATTTGTATTTTTTTACTAGGAAAGATTCGATTTTTAATTACCTTTGCGTGAATCTTTTCGGTTTTCCTCACCATGAACTCAACCAAAGATCCACGAAAATCATTCGTGTCAATCAAATTCGGATCGTACGTCTCGGGATTGTAACAAAATTGCGATCTCTCCACGAAACTGAATATAATGCTGTCCTCTTGCCTAATCAACGAGCTTCTTATACCTTCGAGAGTGTACCTGTCAGTTTCGTCTACTCGCTTTTCCGATGCTGATCTGATAGGAAAATGGGATTGGTCAAAGTCCAAGGTTGACCAAATCGATTTTTTCTACTATATCAACGGTACTTCAAAAAATTACGAGTGCACTATTAGGTAATTTACTCGGCATTCATCTTGCGTATTTCACTTACTATTATCGAAACCGAAGAGAATAAAATCAGAGAATGAACACCCTTTAATCCAATTAACCAGATGAATTTGTACATAAAATCGGAGAATGAACACCCTCGAGTTTGCACCGATTTCACATTTGGTCCCCCATGTTCCCAAAAAAACACATTTAGTCCCTCATGTTTCAAAAATTCAATATTTTAATCATTTCCGTTAATTTTCTGTTAGTAATAACGAGATCAAGCATGTGTCCAACGATGTATTAACTGACGGACTAACGATAAAATTGACGGAAATAACCAAAAGTGTAGAATTATTGAAACACGAGGGGACCAAATGTAAAATCGGTGCAAACTTGAGGGATCACAACCGCAATTTTCCCGTTTTGACAGAAAGGAGAATGAACTCCGACAACCATAATAAGAGAAAGAAACAACGTAATTGAAATCCAGAAAAAGAGAAATAGATTTATACCCAACGGCAGAAGTGGAACCATTAATTGCGAAAATGCCATTCTTTGGAGCTGCTAAATTCGGAAGACGAAGGCCGTAATACGTTTGACGGGCAAAAGGGCAACTGGGTCTCGAAATCTTGTAGCCGCTTGGGCTGAGCACGGCGGAGGAGGCGGCGGCGGCGCCGCCCAACAGCTTTGCCTCCATTTGTTACAACACCTGAAAACAAAGAGAGAAGAAGAGTGAAGTGGAGAAGCAATGATTGGTCTTCTTGCGGCGTTGACTTTATATATCTGGCCATCTGGGGGTATTTAAATCGTGTTTAGGTTTTGGCTTAATTTAATTACCTCAATTAAAACGTCAAACCCCATTTAATTTAGGTAATCCCGTAATTAATTCTTCTTAATATTACCCCTTTCTCCGTATTAATTGCATACAGTCAATCATTTATATTCCACAGAGTGTGTGTGTACGCGCGCGCGTGCGCGCGCGTGCGCGTGTGTGTGTGTTGATTAATTTATTTTTTTCTAAATTGAAGGATGTTGTTACTTGCTTTATTGTTGAATCAAACGTATATTATTGCTCAATCTTATTTGGAATTGAGCAATAATCGAATTTGAATTTGGCCATAATCGAATAGAGCTCGAGCGACTTTAGCCGATCGAGCCAAACACTAAAACGAGCTTGATTGGGCCGAGTTTCTTATATTTCATCATTTTTTTTCCTAATCAATAGAACTCCGGCCGAATTTTCATACTAAAGAACGAAATTATGTGTTTTTAGATCGATTCACTATTGACAAATCGAGACGTTTTAACAGTCCATCTCATACTTGAGTAGCTTGATTTTTATTTTAGACCTATATCTCTAGTGGTGGAAATCAGCCTGATCGGATTAAAATGTTTTCTTTTTCTTAAGGCTACATATTGGTTTGTCGTTCCAAAGCTATTAAGGAAAACCGAATAGGATAAATGATGGCTATTCTCCAACTTACATTCTTGCTCCAATTTCTTCCCAAAGTCTACCATTTCTTCGGAGACGAGTTGATCACGTGGGGCCTACGCCGCCCGTTTATCAACCGGCTTCCGATTTCATCTGCAATGTTCGTATGTGCACGATCGGCCGAAGCGTTTGCTATCGAAGCGGAGGATTTGAGATGCATCACGGATCACTTCCCGATATTATTTTGCAAACGAGGGCCTCAAAAGGACCGCTAGGTATTATTCGTCGAATTGGAGGACTTGGGCCGCAGTTAATTAAATTCAACAATTAAAATAAAATTTAAAATTTAAAATTAAAAAAATTAAAAGAAAAAAAACATTATCACAGAATCAAATAGTACACAAAATCACCAAAATCCTTCACAAGGATTAAAGAATCTATATATGGAAAGACATTGAACTTATTCAAGATGATCATGAGGCCTAATCGACATAAAGAACGAAGCATATTGCCTTAGGCGCCTGTCGCTATCGTCATTCACCGAGCGAAAGGTCACCGCCTGTCTACTCCTCTCAATGTACCGCCGCCACGCCAGCTGTACATTAACTGCCGCCCAAGTCCTCCAGTTCGACGAGTAGTACCTAGCGGTCCTCTTGAGCCTCTCGTTCGCAAACTTATACCGAAAGTGGTCCGTTATGTACCTCAAACTGTTCGCGTCGAGAGAAAAAGCCTCGGTGGATTCGATGCAAGTGAACGTGGCGGAAGATGCCGGAAGCCTGTCGGTGAACGGGCGGCGGAGGCACCACGAGAGAAGCTCGTCGCCGAAGAAGCCACCTGGCTCGAGTTGACTTGTGGCCACTATTCCTCGGCTTAGGTTTTGGCTACTCCCGACTCGGCCGTGGACTATGAATACTATTCGTTGCACGGGGTCGCCTTCTCGTATGATCTGTGAGAAAAAGGAAAGCGGTTATCTATTACCATTTACGAGCAATTCGGACAATTTGTAAGTACCTTTTCGTTTTTGGAGAAAACGAGGGGCTTTACGCGGTCGCATATGTTGTCGAGGATGAGGTCATCCAAGCTATGGAATAGAGGTACCTAGAGAGATGTAGATCCAAGTTAGATTCAATGTTAACTCTTACTAGTGGTGTAAAACTGTAAATTGGAACGCAATTTCCAATTTCCGCCGATTTTCGAACTGAAATTTTCCAATTTTGGAACAATATATTTCGTTCTGATTTCTGTTTTTATTTTTACTAAAATTGGAATATATATGAGATTCCGATTGTAATTTCCAAAAATAATTATGTTTTTATAATATCAAAATTATGATGTATCTTATATTCTAAGTTGCTAGAAATTAGAAACTTTTGAATTCCATCGATTCAATTTTAAAATGAGGTTTTTCATTCCAATTTCCGATTTTGTTTTGGAACGGAATTGAAACTACTTTATAACTTCTGAAGAAAAAAAAAAATTGTTTTTTTTTTCCCAAGTGTTAATTTCAATCTGATCCGTCCGATTTCCACCCGTAACTCTATTATCCACACAAGAGGAGTTTTTGTCCAATAAAGGATTAATCACAAAAACCAAAATTTGTGATTAATCTCAATTTTTTTTGAATTTCGTACCTTTTTAACAAGATCGAGGCAAAGAAACCGTTTAATGTCCCGCCTAAGTCCTTCGGGCAAGTCCTGAATCAATTCCATCTCGTCATCACCGCCCATAACGGCCCACCGTTGGTGTTCGTAACGGCGAACTCTTTGTCTCAGCTCAGACGGCAATTGCCGCCGCCTCATCCACCATTCCATGTCCCGACACCTCAGCTGCATTTTTCTCTTCTTCGCCATAACCGCATGCAAAAATACCTATTCCCCAAAAAAAAACGAATTTTCGGTCATATAATTCTTCACACAATTATACCATCTCGTGTATCATACAGTCAAACCTCTATAAATTAATACAGTCGGGACTAACAAAATTCTATTAATTTAGCGAAATATTAAATTATCGAATTAATAATTTAGTAGGTTTTTACCGAGTCGGGACCAGAATAAACTATTATTTAAGCGAGGTTATTAATTTATCGAGGTTCTAATAATTACCTGAATGTTACCAATTAACAAAGTGAACAACATTAGACCACTGAGCACAGTGATTATACTGAAGATCACTTCCAACCAATGACTCGTCGGCTCCAAATCGTTACCAAACGTGCTGACACCAAAACCCGAAAAAAAAAAAAGTCGGTCAAATCAGTATGGAAAATCTACGCTTCATATACACACACCAACATGGATGTGTGTATTTTTGTGTGTGGATGACGACGAACGACGGTTGTTATTCACCATCCAATAATACATATCTCGTATTAATTGCAACTAGCACCCATGTATTTAGTCTAATTGCTAAAAATCTGCCCGTTTTATAAATATTATCAAAATGCAATTGTTTAGTCGAATTGTGTTTGCTAATATTTATAAAACTGGCAGATTTTTTAGCAATTCGATATAATACAGGGGTACTAAATGAGTTATAAAACATTTACCTCAGAGTCATCAATCCCCAAAAAATAGGATAAAGAATCTTCACGGCAACGGAATTGCTCGACACAACGGGGAGGGCCCATTTATATATCCCGTAACGAAACGGGCCGTTGACATCCAAACACAGCGGCTTCCTAATCACGACCGTCGAATTACCACCGCCGCACGGATTATCCAACGTGCCAGATGGCAGTAGAAACTGATAACAAACCTCCTCGGAGCACGATAGCGACACATCACAAGTCCCGTTTATATTACAGTGCTGCTTCAGACAAGAAGCCACACGCTGTATCGCTAGAACGTACCAGCATCCACCGGCAACCTTGAAAAATCGGTACACGAACGAATTGTCGAAAATTTTATATTTGAAATACAATAAATATATATTTAAAATTTTTGTTACAACTTACGTGAGAAGCGATGAAGTAGGCGATGAGATTGAGGCCGAAACCCCACCAAATGGTGCCGAAGATGTAACCGGTAACTTTTTGCATTCGTCGCATTAAGCAAATGATGTGGAAGACTTTAGGTAGGAATTGGAACAAGAAAATTAGTAGGAGAATTGTCATTATAAGCTTTATTTGCTCCTCTTTTATCAACTTCGGCACTACTAACCAAAACACGGCCTGCGGTTTAATGCAAAAACGAGACGATTAAATTCAAGAACGTTCGTCTTAGAAAAAAAATGAATTAAATTCGCATCATTCGTCGAGTAGAACATGAAATTCCATGTGGGGTGTTTGCAAAGAGTGAAATTCAGATGGATCGGATTGAAATTTGAACTTTCGGAAAAAAAATAAAAAATTCAGAAGGGAATTAAAAAAATTAAAAAAAAAATGGGATTTTTTTTTCCGGAAATTGGATTGGGAAAGCATGTTCCAAAAATAGAAATTCTCGGATCGGATTGGAATTAGAACTTTCGAAAAAAATTTAGAATTTTTTCAGAAGGGAATTAAGAAAATAAAAATAAAATAAAAACCGGATTTTTTTTCTTCGGAAATTGGATTGGAAAAACATGTTCCAAAAATAGAAATTCTTCGGGGGAATTAAGAAATTTTATTTTTTTATTCACCTATAATATGAGATACATAAAATATAACTTATTTAAGGATAATTAATTAATTAACAACAAGATTTATTTAATAATAACTTATTAAAGGATAATTAAATAATTAATTAACCTGAGGAACAGGAAGAATGACGAAGATATCGAACCAGAAGCCCTTAAACGAGCGGAGATAATGGCGGGCGATGGCGCGTGTGTCCCACACGAGTTTCCCGCAGCCAACAACGAGCGATTCTCTAGACACGTACGCCAGCCGGAACTGTAGCCACATGTGGCAAAGATGCACGGCGTCCACGCACGTGCGGAGCACCGTCACGATGATAGCCAATCCGCCGTCCATGTACAGGCACGGCCACCCGCCCCGCCCAATCGACAGCGCGTAGAAGAACAGCGGGTCCACCGCCAGCGCCATCCCACGCGCCATCAGGAACGCGCGGTTCCACCGCTGCACGCGCTTGGTCCGGGGGTCGTAAACCCCGGCGGAGGGACGCCGCCCGCCGCCGCCGGCGCCGTCGGTCCGGGTTTCGGAGGTGGATCGGTATTTTATCGGGAGCAGGGAGGAGCCGGCGGAGGCCTCCCACTCCGGCTGGTGGGCCTTGTCGCAGCTGGTGGAGTGGAACACCGGAGCTCCGACCTGAGTGCAGGCGTAGCATTCGCCGGAGTTTGGGGATTGGTTGCTGCTGGTGTCGTCGGTGATGTCAGATTCTCGCCGGAATATTCCAAACCACCGTGAGATGGAGAAATTGGGGTCTGGATTATTATTCGGAGAAGGCATCTTCGTGGGAGGGAAACCATTTAAAACACTAATTAAAAAAATAATAATAATAATAAAAGAAAAGAAACAGGATTTAAAAGAAAAAAAGAAAATAATATTTTGGAAAAGGGAATTAATTTTCCATGTTATATTACTGTACATTTGCGGAGTGAAGAAGACAACTTGGAAAATATAGAAAGCGTACAAATATGTCGGGCCGGGCCGGGCCGGGCCTACAGTTGAGAGAATTGAGCTGTCACCTTATTAACATGAACCAAGATGAATATCTGGGTTATCCTGCATTAGCTGGCCCATCTTATTATTTTTATTGGACAAATTACGTTCACCCCCTTAGGTAAGGTTAAATTACGAAAATATCCTTCGTGTTTATATTATTACAGACACTCCCTCAATTATGTATTATCTTTCGAAAAATTCCTTCCAATTGATAAATCTAGGCACCGTTCATTCATAAAAATTGTACCGAAATTTTGGTACGCCAAAATTTCACACCGTTTAGAGTTCGGTTCGGTAAATAACCGAATTACCGAGTTTTTTTATTGAAAATATTTAAAATCTGATATTTATAATTTTTTTATTAATTTTAGTTTAAATACTAATATTACACGTACATATAATTATATATAAAAAAATAATAAAAATGGAATATCGCACTGAATTACCGGTTCGGAATTCGGCATGTACCGAATTTTCGTTAGGTTCAATTCGGTCGGTTTATAAACCGGATGAACACCTCTAGGTAAATTTTGACATTGTAAGGGTGGACAAATAAGACAATACATAATTGATGGGTGGTTGTAATTATGCAAACCATAGGGGTGTTTTCGTAATTTAATATTACCTTAGGGGTGGCCGTAATTTGCCATTTTTTTTTTAATATCCTCCCTTTTTTTCCTTTTAATAAAATAAAATATTCAATTTTTTCACTTAAATTTTCAATATGATAGGTTTTCTCCTCGATCGATTTATTGTAATTTCGAAAGTGATAATATATAGGAAAATTCCATACTATACCCGATGTTCGTTAACTATAGATATGCACATAATTATACACACTCATGTGTATGTGTACTTAGTGAATACACGTATAACTCCCTCTGATTTGCATAATTAGTAAATAAAAACTTGTTAGTGATTCACTCAAATATTAAAAATAAATAAATAATAAATGAATGTTAGTGATTACTATTTACTAATTACACTATAGTATGAGTACAAAAAGAGTGTCGATTAATTCCACCCCAAATGGCTCATAACAATTGACTCCACACTATTGCAAAAGTCGTTTAATTTGCTAGCCACAATATATATATATATATAATTAATTTTGAGAATTCCAGTTAGGCTTGAATCTTGATAGATAATTTGATGCAGGAAAAAAGTGGTGAGCGAGTGAGTACTCCAATTGAGTCATGAACTTGAGTTGAGTTATATATCCAAAGGGACAAAGATGAATGATTAATCATATCATTCATATGTTGAATTTATTCGAATAACAAATTAGGGAAACATCGTTAATTTCTCAAGAATTAGTCGGACGAAGTTTGGATACGGCTGACGTCATACAAAGATGAAAGAGTAATAGATCAAATCGACGTGTACTAAAACCCTTTTTTCCGTGTACTCTCGTAGTACATCTACTCCTTGTAATCGTACCATGGTTTTAAGTTTAAAATTATAGTATCGTTTTTTTTCTGTTAAAAGAAAAAAATAGACGTGTTCGATTTTGTATTTTCCAATTTTCAAGTGTAAAAATATTTTTTTAATAAAAAAAAAGGGAAAAATGATAAGTAGAAGTAATAGATAGCTGGATTATGAATGAAGGGCCATGGTGTTTTTTTTGTCAGCAAGGAAGAGTGGCAAATATGGGTTACCTTAGACTGTGATGTGCATGTGAACTGCTTAACCTCAATTATTCATTCATCTTCTTCCTTTTGTTTTATTTTATTTTCATTATTATGTGTTGGAATTGTTGACAAGGCTCATTGTTAGGCATCTATCACTTCATTTTTTGGCCCATTTTCATTCCATTCCATGTTAATTAATATATATCTTTTTTCTTCACCCATAAAATATCTAGTATCAAATTTTAATTATAAGTTCCTAACTAATAAATATGGTCTAGGGGTGTAAATGAGTCCAGCTCGAGCAGTGCTCGTCAGATTTTTTGAGCTAGAGCTTGAGCTCGAGTTAAATTTGGTGAGCTCAATCTCATTGAGCTTTCATTTGATGATCTCAAGATTATCGAGCTTTCATTTAATGAGCTTGAACTCAGCTCATTTTTCTTTTTCTAATTTTACATGATATTAATTTTGATTTTTATTATAAAATATTTATATGAAAAATAAAAGGTTATAGAATAAAACTTAAATTTGTAATTTTTTAAATTTATCTGTAAACGAGTTGAGCCAGCTCATGAACTCATAAACAACTAAAGATGAGCTCAAACTCAAGCTCATTGAAAAGTTCGAACTTTGAACTCAAGTTTTTTTCGAGTCAGCTCATCAAACTCACGAGTTACTCGGTGTTTCAATCTCATCACATTTGATAATTGATTGATCGAAAAACGTTAAAATAGAAATTTAATTTGTGGGGTTCAGAAAGATCTCTGTCATTTTTGTAATTCCGTACACCGCATATACATTTACGTACACACACTTTTTTCTTAATTATATTTCTATTTTAAATTTTTATTATATAATTGAATAGGATAATACAAGAACATCCTAGTCGCGGCTATAAGAAACAAGGATGGCAATTTTTAGTTATATTTTTTTCTTTTCTCTTTTTTCAATAAAGAATGAACTTGTAGTTGATGATTATACAACTGTACAATATATTTTTTAGCCCCGTTTGGTTCTCAAAATAAGATTAGTTAAGATAAGAATAAATAACTTAATATTTGCAGGTAGGGGTGTAAACGAACCGAGTTCGAATTCAACATCTATTTTGACGAGCTCGAACTCGAGCTCTTCGAGTATTGTTTTTCTGAGTTCGAGCTTCAGCTTGAGCCATTTAGCATATATTTTTATTAATATTATTAGAAATTTATTATTATAAATTATAATGTAAACATTAAAAAAACATGAGCTGTATTTTTTTTTAAGTATTATATGAATTTATTATTTATTTTATATTAATTATATTTAAAATAAGAAATAATAATAATTTAAATGTTATAAAATTCGTTTATTTTATTTTATTTTAAAGTTAAAAATATTATAATGTGCTTCAAGTATAAAATTGATATAATTTTCATGAGACAGCTGTCAATTTGATTGAGCAATAAGGCCCAAATAACTTCGAATACCCATTGGGCTACAAACTATAAGGCCCAAACAAAATAAAAAGAGTCTGCACTCTGCAGTGTATAGTAATGGTCGTTTTTATTTTTTTAATTTAATTTTAAAGAAAAAGAAAGTTATACAATTTATTATTTTATTTAAATGCTAGCCATTATGTAGCACAGAAACTTCAACGTCCTCACGTTTTCCATGTTTCGTGTTTGAAACTCGAGAACACCTGCCCGATACTTTATAGGTTATTTTGCAATTTAAAAAAAAAATTAGAAACATGTTTGAATAGCAATTTTTTAAATATTCTTGTTGTTTTATTAATTATTTACATGATAGTTGATTGATAGTTGATAGTAAAATATATTTTGACTATGTTTGTATGAAAGTTAAAAAAAAAATTAATTTATATATAAATTAAAACCTATATATAGTTATTTATAAATATACCCTTATATTTTTAATATTTACATGTTCCCACTAAGCTCCGGTATCCTCATTTGGACATGCCGTTTTTCCATGCCTGTTTCACCGTATCGCGTTTCCATGTCCATGCTACATAGGCTGTTTTTTTGTACACATTCCCGTGTCCGTGCTACATAGGCTAGTCATAAAAAGTACGAAAAAAACATACTAGGAGAATCGTTTTATCTTTGTTAGTAGACATTATATTCGATATTTATCTCTAATAATAAAAAAAAATAGATTGATTCATAACTATTTATTTTATTTTCGTTTATCTTAAATTTAAATTTAACATTGGCTTAATTTCACTTTGCACCCTTGAAATAAAGTTTTTTAGCACTTTGCACCTTTAAAAAATAATAATAGCACTTTGCATTCTCAAAATACAATAAATTATTCGCAATGCACCCTGAATTGAATAATAGCTTAAATGAAAGGTTATGGTTGCCCCAAACTTTTTATATCATTGTAGGGGTACTCTTTTATCTTGTGTAGGCCCACAAGGTCTTTAACGAGGCCCCAAGTCTTTCAATAATAATGGAATAATAAAGTTTTTCGGCAAAAAAAAAAAAAAGAATTGAATAATAATATTTTATCTTTTTATTATTATATTTTTTCTAGGATGCAAAATACAAATTAAATTGTTATTTTCTTCAACTTCTAATTGTGAAAAAAATAAAAAATCACATACAATTATTGAAAAAAACTATATTATCTTACAAATTTAAATAAAATAGACTTTTATTACTAAATTACTCGATCGATGTATCTTTTATTGTAATTTGTGGAAATATTAGGTATCGACTTTGAAAGAAATATGATTTTCAAATTACTTGATAACGAAATAGGTGAAGGTTTTTTTTCGTAAATATTTTTTTTTCTGATAAAAATATATTTTTAAATATGTTGATGAGATGATTTTTTATTTTTACAAATTACAGTTTAAAGATGATTGATGTATAAAAAAATTGGGACCTTAAGATATAGGTCCCTGATGACAAAACTTATTAGAACTAAATGACAAGTCCAATTAAACCTTTGTTACATCCTTTACAAAATTTATTCCAAAAATGCCCTTCCACTTACAAATTCCAAATTTGCATTTAGTAAATTTCAAACTGCAATTATCTTTTTATTTGTTCTGCACGTTTTTTAATTTTATTTTTTACAGAATACATTTTTTGTCATTTTCTTTTCTTTCCTCATTTTAGCATTAATACACTATTATAAAAAAAAAATCCTCTTTTTCCTACATATTATTGAAAATTACAAAAACAAAAGCATGCTATTCTTTTTTTCA